GGGGATTCCTGATCCAACTATGGGCTACGACACACACACACACACAGCAACTCGGGGTTCTGTGCACAATCAGACCCTCATCCTTCTGTCTTTTCCAACAACTTGAGATTCGACCTGATGATTGCAGTGCTATAAACACAACCACTGCCTCGACGACACACGTCACTCCGCCTGCTCTTCATCTTCTGCTCCGTTTCGGTGCACTTTTGGTTGCGAAGCGTGGTGGCAGCACCATTTGAATTGTGCACCATGTTGCCACACCTTCCCGATTGAATGTGATTCGTAGTAAATAATGTCAAATCAGAAAAAAAACTTGTGGCGTTTGGTACCAGCAGTGTTTGTTTGCAGCCTGTGCCTGGCCTACACTCCTTTACATGGCCACATCCTAAGTCACTGCGTGCACAAAGAAGCAGCTTCAGTGTATAATTTGTCTTCCCAGTTTGAAGGGCGGGTCCGCGCGGAGTGACGTTCGCTGAGTTGGCCTGATTTCTGAACGAAATAGGGGTGTCCCATTTTGCACTGAAGCGCCCCCTGTTTAGAGTTCAAATTAAACTCTCTCCGCAGCTGGCTTTGACTGTTCCCGATAGCAGTGAGCTCTAGAAGAGCCCCGTGCCACGACGGCTATGCTCCTTATCTTAATAGCGAAGTGGACCTCATTCAAATTTCAGGTCGTCCTAACCTGGAGATGTGGCATGCTGGCGTTAACTTAGCCAAACTGACCTCTACACCTTTGTCCGTGTTGTACAGTGAACCGCCTCGCACAAAGGGCCGGCTTACTGGGACCGAATTATGGTCTTGTGTCTTACTGGGTGGCGCTACCAAGGTGGTTTGGACATGCATTTTTCTGTGCAAGTTCAAGCATACTTATTTCTGCCTTTTGTTAAGCAACCGAAAGCTTGCTGGCCTAAAAGGCTAACATTCGCCTCTAATTTTTGCGTGGCATCCACGGGTAAACACGTGAGTTCAGGTTGAAGTGGATGGTGGCTGTGTATTTCTGAAAAAAATAGAGCAGTAAGCGACCAACAGAGAAGATGGCATGCACGATTTTCGTTAGCAGACTCCAGTCCCTCACTGGTTCGTTATAAAAAACACCCCGCTATCGGAGCTAACTTGGAAGGAAGCCACGGGCCTAAACGAAGGTGCGAGCGCAAATTGAGTGACAGCTTCTTCCCATGTCCCAAAATTGTTAAAATAAACCACGAATCGAGACAAGCATCCGAGCCCAATATACTTGTTGTTATTGTAAGTTATAAGGAAACGGGCTGCACACCATAACCATTCGTTTTATTGCCGGTAATTTCTCAAGCTCGTAAAGAAGGTTCGTCGTCAGAGGTACTGACAACCACAAAGCCGATAGCATTTGTCGGACCTTGTAACCGAAATAATACTTACGCCTGGGGTGTGTACATGACCGCTGTAGGTCCAACCTCCAATTGAACGAGGTCTCACTAGGGTCCTTAGCCACACCCTGCGACTGGTTTCGCTTTCCAACGGAGCGGTTGTTCTCACAACCGCTAATTTGAATGCATGACGCATTCGACGCTGTTTGAAGCTACTCGGAGCGGCTACATCCAACTAAGAATCCCCGCGACAGTACGAAAGCTCGGGCCGATAAGCGCATGGAACCGCTGCTCTGTCA